CAAAGATAGAAGGTCTGTTAGAAGCGGTAGATTCATCTTCTACAGTAATATAATTATTGCTTGCCCTTCTTTGGTGATGCACACTGGTGAGGGTTGTTTATATCCCAAACCTTCACGTGGTTGCCTCGTAGTAGCTATTGATGGGAGCTTCCCTAACATTGACGGCTCATTGGGATTGTATCCAACCTTTTCAAATAACTTGTAAGCATTAGGATCAAACCTTCATCCGCACGCTTCGTAGGAAGTGCTATATCTTGTGGCGAATTTTGAGACACAGACTTTCTAAGTAGCTTCGAGGACAACTTTATTGCCTCAAAGATCAGAAGAGTTAACCCCTTTACATGTTCATTTGGAGATTGGATGATTCACCTTTCTCTTTCTCCTTTTTAGGGACATAGTGGAGCGTAGAAGTCACTTTCTTGCCGTAAGACACCATATTCCATCTATAAGATTTATTTGAGTTAGGGTGTACCTCCTTAGCAAGAGCTTTGGCATTACCAGTAGTTACCTCAGCTTTTTTAGTCGTGGACTCGTCATTCTTGCTCTTCATGACATCATCAGCTTTTAGCTTCGTCACAGTGTAGTTCCTCAAGTAGAACTTTTTATCGGCAAAGTGTGGATCAACCTCGGTGAATGGATTATCATCAGTAACTATCTTCTTCTCAACTTCACCCTCATAGTACTTCAAACAATGATGGTAGGTAGATGGAACCACTTTATTCTCATATATCCAAGGCCTTCCAAGCAAGACGTTGTACGAAGTTTTTGTATCGATCACATGTAGCCATGCACTTGGTTGCATATCTTCAATGGTGATTCTCAACCTGATCGCGCCTATGGCTCTTTTATCCCATTGGTATAATCCTTGAATCATCAAACGAATTTCCGAGAGTTCGTTCATAGGAATGCCAAGTTCTTTCACAGTGCGAATTGGTAAGATATTCACTGGGGATCCTCCATCAACCAAAATTCGGTTTACCCTTTTATCACACATATAGCCAACTAGGTACAATGGGCAGTTATGAGGAGTGTCACCTAGTAGAAGCTCATCATTGGTGAATGTAGCCTTTTCCTCGCAAGCATTAACTTCTTGATAAATGGACTCGATGAGCTTTTCCGAAGATGGTGCTAGTGGTAGTTCATCACTCTTTTCTTCCCTTTCATCAGCATTGCAGCAAAAGGCCTTAATACCATCATAGGAAATCTTTGTGCGGAACCAACTTGGTAAGAATTCCTCAAAAGTCACTGGATCTCTTGGCTTTTGAGGGTGGTGCACCTCCACTCTAGCTTTCTTCAAATGCTTGACAGGATTCTATTTCCTTAGCCTTTTTACCATCATTTTCCTTGTTGGTTGTTCTATTGATTCTTTTCGTGGGCTTCTTTTGTGGCACCTACAACTTGTCCATTTTCTAACTTCTTGCTTGTCATTTCCTTTGTGTGGCTCATAGATGGGCAGCATTTTATTTTCAGCGGAGGTCATGCTCAACTCCATGTCATGGGCACGAGTCTAAAGTTCTTCAAATGTGCTAGGCTTGATACTTTGCAAGATGTCGTGCAGTCCCCAATGCATGCCTTGGATGTACATCTCTATGCCAGAAGTTTCACTAAGCATGTCTTTGCATTTGAGGCTTGCATTCCTCCAACGATTGATAAAGTCAATAACTAGTTCACCCTTCCGTTGACAAGTACTTGTAAGTTCCACCATGCTCATTGTGTGCCTTGTGCTATAAAAGGGATTAAGAAACTCTTGCTCTAGTTGATCTCAGCTATCAATAGATCCCACCTCGAGGACCGTATACCAATCAAAAGCATTTTCTTTTAATGAGCGGACAAACTGCTTGATGATGTAATCTCCATAAAGCCCAGCATTGTTGCATGTCTCAACGAAGTGCACCACATGTTGCTTTGGATTTACTTTACCATCAAACTGTTGGAACTTTGGAGATTGATAGCCAGCAGGCATCTTCAACATGTCAATCCTTGTAGTGTATGGCTTTGCATATGTAAGGGAGGACTTGGAAGAAACTTCATACTTATTTTTTATAGTCTCTTCAAGGAACTCTTTTAGTTGATTGATTGGAATCATCCCTTTAGATGAGACATGGATAGCCTTAGTGAATGCTACTTGTCTTGGGGGAGAATCACTCTTTGAAACTTCTAGGAGCTTTCCAGGTGCATGGATAGATTCTTCTTTCATCAAGATTCTCACCCTATCTGTTAACTTGTCAATTCTAGCATCTTGATTTTGCATGCACTCGTTCAAGCCAGTAATTGCTTCTGCCAAGTTTGCTAGTTGCTCCTCCACAGATAAAACGTTCGTCACCATTGCTTGCATAATTGTTGTGGACCATTAAGAGTAGCATGTATTGTCACATGGATTGATCCTCGATTGGCTCACGCTATGCGGTGTAAGCGCGGAGGATCCATTACTTGAAGCATCAACGTCTTCCTTCACAATAGATTTCTTTGATCCGGAGAGGTCAAGCAGAGCAAAAGTTTTCTTAATCTTTTCAGCAACATCGCTTCCTCCTTCGGGTGCATTTGTAGAAGATCTTGCTCCTTTTTGAGGATGAAGATCCGAAAACAAGGATTGATGTGGATGATACTTGGAGTGCTTGTTATCCTAAAGGGCTTGCTTTGCTCCTTGTAGTTGGTCCAAAGCTTCCAAAGGTAACATCGAGGATACTTTCCACATCAGCATAAAACCTGATATTAGCAGCCTTGGTAGAAGTTGATCTGAAGTTAACTTTCTTTGAAGCCATTTCGATGTTCTTGAATTTTAGTGATTGAAAAATTGAATGAGGTAGAGATTGCCCACTGGGCGTGCCAGAATTTGTAGACAATAAATTACGTTAAGAAAATATTCGAGATAAAAAAATATTGCAACAATTGTAGTATTTTATTTCAAGCAATATGAGTATTACAATCTCTATAAATTCTCCGATTCTTCTTTTCAATAGTAAATAAAAGAGCCTTTGAGCTTAATCTTAAATTTTATTTTATTTTTAATCCAAGTGTTTGAGGTTTGATTTTGATCTTGATATATTTTTAATCCAAGGGCTTACAACTTGTTCTTGAATCTTCGTCTTGATCTTTTAATCCTTAGAACACTTGAATGTTTGTAGCTTTTAGAGAGATCTGCCACGTTTGATCCACGAGCTCTCTCTTGATTCTTGTTATATGTCTTTTCTAAGTTATGAAGACTCCTATTTATAGTTGTGAGATAAAAGAGTTGCGATGAGAACAAACTCTTTTTGACCAATCAGATTGAAGCATGACAAGGGCGCATTTGATTGGCCAGAACATGTTACTTGAACATATGGCACGATTTCACTGGCCTTTTAATTTGACTTGGCATGCTATGTCATTTCAACACGTGCCATGTTTTTATTGGCTCTTCCGTTTGACTTAGCATGCCACGTCATTTGACATGAGGCGACAAACTGGACCTTTAAGAATATGACTTCCTGGGCTAAATAAAGTAGGCTCATCATTTATAGGCCAATTTATAGGCCAATTAAATGGCATAGCCCAACCCATTTGGACATATTCATTAAATCCATATTTATTGGATTTAAATAATTAAACCAATTACATTAGCCCATAATATTTTTCTTGGACCAAAATATATTTAATTTAAGATTAAATTCAAATTTCTTACGGATTTTAATTTAATCAAATTTAGTTGCCTACAAAAACTATCCTCACCATAATTTTATATTTTTCAAATTATTCCTTATTGATTAAAATATTTTTTTTCTTTTTTGTTTCTAGTTTATATATATTGATGTTATAATGTAATTGAACGCAAATGATGACAAAGTAGATTGTTCAGTTCCAAACTGGGCTCTTGGATTTATTGGCTACAAAATGAAGAGAGTTCTAGGCTGGAAGGTTGAAATATTAGATACATGAATCATGTATAACTTTTCAAATTCGTTTTTTTGACTTTTCGTTTGTTTTGCTTCTTTCGATTATCAATTCTTTTCCTAAAAAAAATTATTTATAATTTCTTTTATTATAATTCCCGAGTCTTTAAAACAATTATGAAATTTGATTTGTGAAAATTACGTACAGATAAGTAACAAATTTACAATTACATCGCATAACTATATATGTTACATTGAAGCAATTAATTTAGTATAAAATCCATAAGATAATATTGTGCCTGGTTAGCCACATGAAACAAGAACAATTGTACATAGGTAATTCTTTTGTTAAATGTAGAATAATAAATTATTAAGTAATGCATGAATTTATATATTAGTTTATGAAGGATAGAATGTAGAACAAAAATATAGGTATTAGCAATGTGGAGTAATTTATGTACAATAAATGCATCATTAACAATCATCGCATAACATTTTTTTCTTTATTAATTACCCCATAGATAACTAGTAAGTGACGAAACAAAGTGATATTAGAGCAATCAATCTCATCATATTCAAGATAATAAAGTGTTTGGTTAGCCTAATAGAAGAAACTCATACGGTGAAAAGAAAGAGAAAAGAAGCCTTAATTGATGCAGGGCTTATGGAAAAACTTATGTGGAGTATTTTACCATCACGACTTGACATTATATCTATTGCAAAGTTGGTACGCTAGCAAGGGACAGAATAAAATAGAATATGTAGTGTTGAATTCAATCTAAAACTCTTCCGAATAGGCGAGGAATCAGTGACCGCAAGCTCCGCTGAAGCAAATTAGTCACCAATGCAACATTTGGTCAGTAATATTAAATAAAATATGTATTAAGTTATGTGAAATATATATTATTTATACAGAACAATTCAATACGAAATTAACTATTTAAAGACAGAAATATCATTTTAAAGTAAGTAATTTATGAATAACAATCTCTTCATTATTCACCGCTTAATATTTTTTTTATTATTAATTATTGCATAAATAGTTTCAGTAATATATTTCCACATAATTACTATTAGTAATACCAAATTACCAGTTAATACTACCAAGTCTATCATTCTTCTTTTAGAAAAACTTGAAACATTCATTCCCCAAAGTTCCTTTTCGGAAGTGTCCATTCCCTTTGGAAGTAATTTTCTTCGTATTGATTTCAACACCACAGTACGCAGCTGTGCGTAAAGCGTTAAGGAAGAGGAAAGCCAGCGATGACAGTGGCAGCAGGAATTGGATACGCTTTATTAGCACTTGGCCCTTCTCTCTCCCTCTTCATCGCTGTTATCTCCAAAAAGCCCTTCTTGATTCTCACTGTTCTTTCTAGGTAATCTTTTGTCTCTACTGTTCACTTTTGATTCAGAGTTGCTTGTTTATTCATCTTATGATATGATTACAGTGATGATATAATTGAGAAATTGGGTGCCATTTCTTCTTCTTCTGGGTGTGGTAAATGCAGACATATACTTGTCATGTCTTTGTGGAAATTTTGGTGGTCTTTTTCTTTCATGGGTGTGATTTGGTCAAAGTAAATGCAGACCCATTGTTGTCGTTTATTCCTTAAAATTGTTTTCCTGATTACTGGGTGTGATTGGTTTATGGTAAATGCTGACATAGTTGTCATTTTTTCTTCTTTTCATTATAATACCAAATCCCTTTGTTGCTCATTCCCTTTTTCATTTTCCTTTTCATATGTACTAAGGATGACTATATGAACTGCCGCTGTTACATTTTCACCATATATGATATTTTTATTTTAGTGTGTGACAATTTCATCTAAAATTGAAGCCATTAGGTAGCACATTTATATTTGCTTTTATGTCTTCAACATGCCCCTCTAGTGCTGACCTGATTCTTTTTCATGGCCAAGCACGTGGAAAACCTTTTTGATTAAGGGTGGCTTTGGTACCATGTATGACCATCTCATCTAAAAGCTTAAGCCGTGAGAGAATTGTGTTTTGTCATTTTGTGATGTGGCTGTGTTGCTGGTTAGCAGATTTCCATACGCTAGTATTATCCACTTCTGATTGTTCAATGTGAATAATTAGTTCTTTCTTTCGCTTTTTTGGTAGTACATTGGTATGGCTTATGAGCCTGATAGTACTGTCAGCACTCTGGAGGGCTTTCCTTCCACTGAAAACAGCAGCATGGTGGCCGTATACAATCCTCATACTCACTTCTGTTTGTTTTCAAGAAGGGCTTCGTATTCTCTTCTGGAAAGTTTACAAGTAAGTCGGCATATAACAAATGTCTTGTGTATACTTTTCTGTCTGTATTGGTCAAACTAGTTGTAACTGAGTGAAAGCCATAGGTGATTTAGATCACACTTAAATTAGTTTCTTTTCAGAAAATCTGTTTGAAGAGTAGTAGAAATGCAAAATAGAAGGAAGAAAACTTGACCTTAATGCCATTTGATTTACTTGTAGCTTTCCCAAAAACATTTGGAGTTTTATACGCATCATTGATTTGATATGAAAATGTGAAGGACCTAGTGTTTCGCTATGTGGATCAAGGTAAGATGTGATATGTCACACTCTGATAATCATCTGAAGTAGCCTTTGACCTATAGAGCTAATCCTTGTATTTCAATTACATAGTTTCACATGAATTGCTTGAGAAAAGAATTTGTTGAAGCCAATAAAGTAAATGAAATACAGAAAGGAATAAAGATAGTTTCATTAAGACGTCCGCATACTTCTCATGAGCAGGGAATGCTCCATGTTTTCCTTGTTATGCTAAACAGACTTGGTGTATAGCTATTTGTTTGATACCCATGCCCGCAATTATCTAGGATGCGTGGCCATGATTTCCATGTTTGAATGGGTGCGTGGTTATGGAAACTCGAATATGAGGAATCTAAATTCATTTAGCAAATGTGATCAGGAAAATTATTTTTGTGAATAAAAAGTTGGTACAAAATCCTTTTGCCTATATTTTACTGGACTAGACCACAACAAATTATCTATCCTTCTCCTCATCCCCTCTCTTCGTTTTGCCTTTTCTTACTTCAGCAGAGCTCCTCTATTTGTCGTTGTTAATCAATTTGGCAAAAGTTAAAGAACTTGAACCAAGTTATTATATCTTATTTCTTACTTGAATCATCACCCCACTTGTGGGAATCCATTGGGTTGTGTTGTTGTTTACTTGAATCATCCTACAGCCTTGTCGTGTCATGCCGGACATGAATGTTTTGGTCAAATTCATGCTTGTCTATCCCAATCTCCTCGTAGGTTGTAATAGTTGGTCTTTTGGGAGAATTAGGTTGTGATTTTATCTCCAAGCAGAGAATCTTCTGGTGCCATAAACCTAACAAACATGTGGTTGATTATATTAATCCATGAGATGTCTTTTCAATTTTATGATTTGCTAAGGTACATCCACTTTAGCTATATTTTCTTTATGTAACTGAGAAATCTCATGTGAGTTAGCTGGCCTAACCCCAATTATGCTCACAGGTCTGAAACTAGGCCCCTCTACCCCGCTCCCATTAAATACTAGGCTTCAGTCAGTGGCCGGATTCAAACTTGTGACGTGTGTCTAACCCACACTTCCAGCTTTAGCTAATTTTTGAACTCCTAGTCATAATGACTCTAAAAGTACTACCTTTGTTCCCCATGAAACAATGCTTTCTTCTTCATTCCATACTGAGAGTGGTCCAATCCGCATTTTCCCTTCGTCACATCCCCATGTTTCTCTACTTTCAGCTCGAAACATCATTGCGGGACATGTTTTTCTTTTTCATTTGAAAATTTCCTTTGGGACTGAGGTGTTGTTGTATTTGAAAATTTCCTGCTGCTTTTGCTTGGTTATAACTGTGACCTCAAAAGACTGGTTATGATTTGTTGGGAAGAGCTTTTATGGCTTCCACTACTTTATCCTACTGTATATGTTGAATTTACCCTTAACTTTGTATTCCATGTTGTGTTATGTCAGGAAGCTGGAGGATATATTGGACGCATTTGCTGACAGGGTCTCTAAACCTCGTCTCTTTATAACGGACAAGATGCAAATTGCTCTTGGTAGAATGCTGAAGATATTCACGTCTTTTTGGTTTCTAGTATTTGGTTTTGATACTTTTGCCATCTCCCCTAGAATTTACTGGTCATAGTTTTCTTTTCTCAATAAAGTACCTTACAGGCTAGCCAAAATCAGTTTGGTCATTGATTGTTATATGAGCTACTTCTACTAGATGGTCCCAAGTGTTGAGTGTGAAAATAAAAAGATAGAGGGATTTGCTTTACAAACTAACGGTAGTTAGCTCGATATAAATAACCTCTTTTACAGTTTAAACTGTCAATAGATATTCTGTTAATTATAATAAACATCTTTAAGGGTCATTGTGATTCTGAATCCGCGACACGTTGAGTCAAAATAGTGTTGCTGCAGTGTTGCTATTTGCTAGTGGGAACACTTTAATCTGGGATTTTATCTGTTTTTACCACTTTCCAGCTCCGATTTGTTTCAATTTTCTAGTACTGTTTTGATCTTTTCATTTCTGGTAATTGATAACGTGAATTATCGTTCTGCTATTAGATATCTGTTGTAGTTACTGATATTCTTTCCGTTGATCTTCTGTTAATTTCTGATATGTGTTTACATGCAGCTGGAGGTTTGGGACATGGTGTGGCTCATGCTGTGTTTTTTTGCCTTGGCCTTTTGACACCTTCGTTTGGACCAGCGACATATTATGTAGAGAAATGCTCAAAGATACCCTTTTTTCTTGTTTCTGGTAAGAGAAATCTGTTATTTCTGAGTTCCTCTTTTATTCTTTTGGAAACAGCTTCCGAGTACCTTGTATTGTTGATCTTTAGTGATCTTGCTATATGTAAAAGCGTTTTAGCACCAACCCAAAACTTTATTGACAGTGAATAGAGTAACTTAGGACTATAGAAACCTCTTTGGATATCCATACACAACTAATAAGGTTTTATTCTTTAACACCCATCCACACGTGTAACTCGGTTCTAGAATACTTGAACACTTTTTATTTTTATATTTCATATTTATTTAATTTCTTTTAAAAGAAGATTCAAGAGGGGAACTTGTAGTAGAGAGAGAGTAAGCTCAATAGGCTGAAGAGTCAGCCTGGAGCAAAGCTATTGACTCAATAGGTTGTATTCGGAGAGAGAAGCCTAGAGCTTGTTGATGGGCTAAGTTGAGATAGAAGTGCATATAGCGATGTAATAAGTAGAGAGAAAGTGCATCTGACGACGAGCTTTCCTATAATTTTCGGCTCCCTTTTCTTGGGGCTGCCATACTGTTTAACTTAAAAAATAGTGTGAAGAAGGGAATAGGGCATGTTGATTTAGTGTTGCTTAATACCTATATGGTTATGCAGTCTTAAAACACTATTTGTATTCTAAATTGCAGCAACTATAGCCCTTGCATTTGCTACCATCCATACTTTCTCCATGGTTATTGCGTTCAGTGGATATGAAGAAGGAAACAAAGTGGACCAGTGTTTTGCTCCTGTTGTTCACTTAATTGCTGGCATGTTGGTAAGTATATCTAGATTGAATTCACACCTTGTCTCACTTGTGTATGTGAAATACTTTTTCCTTAGTTGTACTGTATGTTAACTGTGAATAATACTTGATGTATCCAAAATAAGAGTTCTCTTGGTTTTGACAATCTAGTTTCTACTTTTCTGGGAGAAGGACTCAGTATTTAAACATACTAAGTTATCTACTCAAACATTGGAGAGGAATGTTTAGGTACAAAATCTTTTCTCTGTGCTTGAAAATTACCATAATGTGCAGTCAAAGAGTTTCTTAAACCTTTTTGAATTACTTTTCTTTGCATAAGGTAGCATCTAATAAGTTGCTGACCAATACAAACTAGAAAACAGCATTTGACCTAGACGAACCACTGGAGAGTGGGAAAACCTTCCATGCCAATTCATAGCACCCACCCTCCCCAAAAGGAAAACTAGAGAAGTTCAAATACCAGAACCTTTTTCAGGTTGAGCATGATATGTGCAATATTTTCAACTCACAATTTGTCCAATTCATGTATATCCTTTGTTTGGAGTTTGACTCTGAAGTAAAATCTGACATCGAATGTCTATGAACATTCTTGAATACCACCTTCGCTCCAGCAGATATAAGGTGCAGCTGGAACTCAGGCTTAAGAATCAGCTATAGCAGTAGCTGTCTGCCCTGATTATATGGATTGGGTGCAGAATTGAGAGATGATAGTAGCCTCCATCTAGAAATGGAGAGAAACAGCTAACCAAGTAAAGCTAAAGGGATTAACAGCTTTAACTTCCTGGCATAGGAAACCAAGAAAGTTCGGGGCTATTTAAAAGGAGCTTAGTGCTTTCCTAATGAAACAAAGTGAACTTCTGCTACCCTTCGCGAACAACATGATTTTCATATGCATACTTAAAGAGTGCATCATGCTTTATTACAAGAAAAAGACACACCAAACCTTTAGTTCAGACAACCAACTACTGAGCTCAATTTATTAAGGATCTGGTAACCAAAACTTTCCTAAGTCGGATCTGCTTATTTTTGGAGGGCTCTAGCATAAGATCAAAATAGAAGCAGATAATTTCAGCAATTAGTGTAGCTTCTGAATTCTTTCTTAGAAAAATGTCCAAGTCCCATCATAACAAGTTACTCACATTTCTTGGTTACTGAGAGTTGTAGCTTTTACACTTTTCATGCATGCATATCTTTTAGCAAGACAGAATTCGAAATAGATTCTACAAGATAAGGAGAGATAAGCTAAAAGGAACTACCCTGATTGGCGTACTTTTCATATCCTGATTCCTCAGGCAGTAAGATCTGCCAAAAGAGGTTCATTTCTCCTTATTGGTTTGAGATCAGTGACTTGACCATACAATTCAATGCCAGTTGCTCATTTCATTAATGGACTGTTGTTCAAGTTTAGTAATTACAGCGAACTTCATAGACTTACTATTTTGAAGAAAAACTCAAGCGAATTTGAGTGAATTTTGATTAAATGGCGATTTCAGGATCACTGTTGCTGACCTTTGGTTTGTTTTCAGACGCTGACAAATCTTGCATTTGGAGGCTGCATGATTGGCATTCCACTTCTCCATTGTGTAGCAATCGTGACCTTGGTACATTGCGGAAGGATGGCATGGAGGAAATTGATAGAAAGCCGAAGCAGGCAATGAAACTTTAGCAATGGCCACTAAGCAAGGATAACCATTATCTTATGCTTGGTGAGTGACAAAGATTAGTAGTATATTGTCTAATGCACGGAGCATTTTAGTAGTGTATTGTGTCACTGGAACTGTATTCTTGTACACAACTGTGAAGTCATGAACCGCCCCTCATCTCTCCCCTTAGCACGTTAAC